CTGGTGCTGGGCAGATGCAAATGGAAAATTTTGCTTAACCATTCGGTCCCATCACAAAATACAAGAATATATGGGGTAAGTGTCTATATCACTTATTCCCTTACATTCTTAAGTGATTCCACAATATATTTCAAAAGTATTTTGACACATTACATCGTTTAAAATAAAAACTAACTTTTCTTATAGAAATGTAACAAATTTAGAAAATGTGGGGGCTTCACACCTCCATTTTTTCTTTGTTTTTACTTTTCATATTCCAAAGGAGCCAAGGATCTTTTAATATCACATACATATAAATAAATTTTTGTAAAAGTTGGGATATTTCATTTTAATAAAAAACATTGAGGTAAAAGACTTGTACATCAAGTTCAGACACCCAAAATAACATTAATATAAAACAATATCCCTGCTCCTCATACAAATAAAAATATGTAACATATTGGAACACAAATTTAAGAAAGAAAAATCTACACATTAATAACAGATCACTTATCTCCCTTTCCATTTTCTTCCTTTCAGAAATAGTCAGTATCATCATTATAGCTGCCAGCCAAAACAACACTATTGTAACCCAACACCAAAAATTTTCTTAGCAGCCCTCCAAAATACCTGGGACCTTCATAAACTTTTCCGCCAATCGCCCACCTTAAAAAACAACCTTTAACCCATAGACGGCATTGTGTTACTTCACCATTAAATACGGGTTTGGCAATGAAAAAAAATAAAAAAAAATTGCTGTTCATTACTGCTGATTTACCTGACACCATCATGTCAGCAGCTCTAAAAATACAACAATTTTCATATTTTTTAAATTATTATTTTCTTCTTTTTCTTAAGTTTTGAGTCTGGTATCCTTATTCCATTCAGCATTCAAGCAGATGGGATTGTAAATTGGCAGCAAAGGGAGTGAAAATGGAGACTTATGTCATCTCACTTACTTCAATAATATATTTTTTTAAATTCCATTCTGCAACATACAGATGGAATAGAAACCATAATACACATATAGAATGCATAGCTTTAAAAAAAAAATCTAGAAAATTAAAAATGAAGTCCTTTAAAAATTGAGAATATATACACATCCATTTCCAAACATTTTTGCTGCCACAGATAATCCAGACCAATTATTTTTATTTACACGGACATCAGAGGCGATCCACAAACTTTTATTTAAAAAAAAAAAGTTCCCCAAAAGATAATAATATACACTGCTTAACCATATAAAAAGGTAAGGCCATTTAATCCTGAAACTTGTGGATTACCTGAAATGTATGAGACGATCAATTGCAAATCTCAAGTCAAAAGTATTATATATAAAAAGGATTAAAGATCATTTTAACTTTATTGGATACTGGAAGGTTGAGTACACCTCATACACAATATACCAGTCACAATAAAAAATGAACAAAATAAGATAAAAAAGGAAATAGTCTTTGCCAAACTTCATTTTCAATGGGGATTATTCCATCGTATTGTAGCTGACAGTATGTTAGTGTCAAGTTTTCTATGCCAGTCTCTAAATTAATCCCCATAACTAAAAAAATAATAATAATAAAATAAATTTTTTTGATATGCCTTTCAAATCGATCGTCTCACAGTAAATAACAGTAAATAGTAACAATAAATACATAATAATTGCTTCATTTCATATATTTCACGTTTAAACCTTACAGCCTAATAAAGTAACATGAGCTACAATTGCCACTAGCATACATGAACATTAATACATTTATTCTCCCTGTCTCAGATAACAGCATTTCATAACAACGCAATACACTGTTGCTTGTTTTGTTTTCCTTACATAGGTAAATCTGAGGCACAATCATACATTTTGGTGAATAATAATTATATATGATTATATGACACATGGAAATAGGCTCTTTCTTGTATTTCACTTTTTGTCCGTCCGTCCTCCTTTCCTCACTCTCTCTCTTTTATAAATATCCTTGTTGAAGGTAAAGGCACGTTTTGATAACAAGTTATTGTCATTTCACTGTTATCTCATCTCCTTTCTCAAACACAAAAAATTAATAATAATGCCAAGTTATAGTAGCAAAGTAGAGGAAGAAGGTGAAGATGGAGAAGGAGAAGGAGAGGAAGAAGGAGGCGGAGGGTGCTCTAAGTACTTTTCTCATTAAGTGTCGTTATCACAAATGAAATCCTTTCATGCCCAATGCCTACAATATCGAAGGTTCCTTCCCGTCTCCCTTTTAAAATAACACCCATGTGGTGGCATGTTGACTTAATAATAGTATTTTTTTTAATGTTTTGTTTTATTTTGTACTCATATATATACTCATTCATATATATATACATATATATCAAAGTTTCTTTTCCCCATTATTGAAAGCTAGAACATAATTTCAATTCTAAAAGGAATCATACAAAAAAAGGAAACTTTCCTGAAGAGCCAATTTATAGCTATGTCTAAATTCAAAGAAACCAAAAGTGTTTTTACATACTTAATTTTCTATAAATATAAGAAGTTCCACAGAGCTGCAGTGCATAGATACAGCTCCTTAAAAGGAAGTAATCAAAGTTTTTAAAAAATTTCCATCATCACTACTATGATTATATCTGGCACTTGCCATCAAGCTATGACAGCATGAAGAAATAGCTGCAATACTAAAATCACCAAAATTCTCCGATCCTTTATGAACAATTTGCTCTATCATAGCAGCTCGTAAATACCCCACCTTCCCTCCCCTCCTAACATACACCCTAGAGTTAGAAATCCCTGTCATGCACATACTAATCTTAACCATCTGGTTATCAAAAGAGAGAACAATGACAGAAAAACGACCCTTTAGTCCAATACAATGGTGTTTCAAAAATGCTATTGATCACCCTCTTAGTAACACAGTTAAGTCTCATTGAAAAGGCACTTCATTAGGCAATACAAACAGCGCAATGCGTATACATGTCCGATGATATTTTATTTTCCTGACTAGATGAACCCTTTACGGCAGCATAAACTTAGTCATTTGCTTGCCGTCTGCTTTAAAGCGTGAGTAATGGTAGTTAGTATTTTATATGGTATACCTTGTTCCACTATATTCTGTACCTCAGACATTGAAATAAATAGGATCTGTTTCCTAGTATAAAACTGTTTTTCCTTATAATCTCATAATAGTTAGAAGGAAAGTGTTCTAGATTCACCATGGACTTGTTAGCAAAATGCTTTCCGCAGCAATATCTTCCATCTCACTTTTGAGCCAAAGAAGGAAAGAGAAAAAATTTAAATCCCAGATTTGATCTGATCTGATAAAACAATAATGATAAAGTAAACAAAACAGACAAGGTGGGCAGACATCAATATTAGAAAAGAGATTTTCTGGCAGACCACACAAATGCTACATCATTAATGTGTGGTCATTTCTCTCTTCCTTATAAAATCAATGTAAATATCCTAAGATAGACAACAGTTAATCAATGTTATGGAAGATAAATGGTTAATTCACAGCTTTAAGCAAAATACATGTGTGTCTCCATCAGAGAGGGTTTTAGCTGAGCGATTCTATGGCACAGATGTGATGTTGATGGCGAGATTCTGACTAGATGTTACAGAATGTCGAGCCGGGTGTGAATATGATGATGGGGAAGCTAGGTGTGCAGGGCCATCTGCACATCTTGTCATAGTTGTGGTGATAATATGGAATCAAAACATAGACTGGAAAAAAATTCATACTGACATTACATCAAAATTAGTAATAGATAAAAACAAGATAAACAGTTCCCTTTCATCGTAACACTCTGCTTAGAATTCCCAACGGCCACTTCTGTGACATCCTATAGCTTGGCTCCTCGACCATCCTTACAGCTATTTCTGACTGGACTGTAGACTTTGAACAAATACACTATCAAAGCAATAAAAAAAGGCCTGACAATTTTTTTTGCCTCAAGATTTACACATGATGGCCTATTATCTTCTGATTAACCATGTCAAGACACCTTAATGCTTACGGCTATAATTAATAATATATGGCATTATATGACTAATACAAGTCTGATGTATGAGTACAAAGTATGAATGACTATAAGTAACAAAATATTTCTTAATATGAAAACAATATAACAAGGACAATTTTAATTAAAAGACTACCACTAGCTTTAATAGAAAGAGAAAATAATATATCAGATATGGAATAGAATCTCATTAAACAAATATATACACAAACTGATAAGTCTGCTTACCAGCTTTGTGCAAATGAAATTGGGAGGAATAGGAAACAATGTTTAATTTTTTTCTCAATGAAACAGTAAGTTTATAAAATTAAGAAAACAGAGAACACAACTAGAGACCTGATAAAAGACATAATCTGAGAACTGAGTTATGACGGCATAAGGGCCAGTCATCACAGAACGAAAAAAGGGGCCCCTAATCTGTAACGGCTTTCTCCCTTTTCCTCTCTAGTAACATAATAAAAAAACAAAAGTACAGTAGTACAAAAATTTTATATGTACAATTCCTTAGAAAATTTTCAAGCACTGTAACATTTACATATCAGTCAGTGGCTTTTTATTTTTTGAGCTACTGTTTACTTATATATCTTGTACCGTAGTATCGATATGGACTTTTCTTTTTTCTTGTATGAATATTGTGTTTACAGTCAATGAGATCCAGAATGATCCCACTAAAAGCCATGAACACTTAACTACAAATAGGCGACCCTGAAGACCATGAAATGATCTTGCTCATGTCCACATTGGAGGAGCCAAGAGACACAGGTGTAGAATCTTTGAAGTTTTTTCTTTAAATATGGCACTACACCTGCTGCTTGGCCGCCAATATACTTGATCCAACCCACACAGATGTCTGGAGTGGGCAGATGCGTGGGCATGCATGAAAAGACATGGGCAGCTGGATCAGCGAGTGTTCACAACCAGAGCGGCTTCAGCCATGGCGAGACCTTACAGTCTTACAGTCTGGCAGTTCCTCTTGGAGGCAAAGGAGCCGAGGTGGGTGAAGACTCAGGTGATGGGTCAGGGGAGCAACGAAG